TGTCCCGCAGAGCTGTGTGTTTCAGCACCTTGTTACTTGAAGGGATGCTCCTCTGCCTTAGTTTGTGGTGGGAGGAACGCAATGTTGATGTTTTATTATTTGAGACGAGCATCCACACTCAACTTTGAGCTCTGAAGCATGTCATGGAAACTGGATGAAGTGCTTTTGACTTCGTAATGAACAACAAAAATGTGGTTAAATATCCTGTGGATGCCAAGTCGTTTGTTTTTAAACTCCATAACTTCGCTACAGAATACGTGTTTTAAAAGCACCTCGACGGCTCCGACAGGGGTCTTGGCGTACTTTTTATTTTGCTCCTGCAGAGCAGCTAGTGATCCAGCAGAGGGAACTGGGAAACCTAATTCCAGAACCATGCTGGTACTGACGCAAAGGAGAAAACAAACAGATAAAACCACAATGGCTTGCAAAGAGCTGAGGGCAGTGACAAAGGGAAGAAAAAAATCTATTTACCAGAGTCAGAGAAGTTGACGTGCTGGGTTTTAAGGAAAACTTAAATAATTTGTCAGAACTGCCCCCTTAACACTGAGGTCGAGGGTTTGCTCATCGTTTTCTGAGATAAAACAAGGAGAAAATGCTTGTCTAAGCAGTCAGGCCGCGGGGCGGGTGTTCGACACCCCCCAAATCCACAAACATTGTCGTGTCGGTGTGCGTGTGCGTAAACACACGTGTATCTGTGTGCGCGGGCGCGGTTTAAACACATAAATGCAGTTTTAAAGCGCGCCCGCCCCTCAATCACCGCCATTTTGCAGGCCGCTCCTGAAAAAAACCCAGTTTTTACCCCCAAAACCGGGCCTGGTCATCTCCTGGTCTCACACAGAGCCGTCTCAGGATATGCGTCATCCACCCTCCTGCTAATCCTCACCAAGAAAGGCATGGCTTTTTTAGAGCTGTATTATTCAAACCTTAGATTTTTAAGATCCCGGTTTTGACCCAAGCACAGCCTTTTTTTTTGAGGGAGATCTTTGTGCAGCCCTTTGGATCCGCCTCCCCAGAAAGGGCTGCTTTTGATGCCGCACAGCTCTGCCTCTCAGCTCTTCTCCCTATTTCCTCTTTGCTAATGCAGACTTTTCCCCCAATTTCATTATTAACTTTAAATTATTTAGAGCCAAGAAGACAGCCTTATGAAAAGACCAGGCTTAAGTTGCTCAACAAGTGAAAACTGTGCTACGTTTGCTGACTTGCTCGGCTGCGGCTCTCCGAAGCGTAGTAGCATAAGAATAGCAAGTGACAAATTGTTTCCAAAATGTCTTAATTTGGGAAAAAAAACACCTGGAATGCCAACCTGTGAATGGCCACACGGCCTCAGTGACCACTTTAGAGAGGCGACGCTGTCACCGGCCAAGGCACACCAGCCCCAGCCTGGGAGCAGATGTACGATATAAACGTAGTCTGGTCACAGTTTGTGAGCAGCAAATGACCTCGGCGTTTCTGGGCTTATTTTGAACATGGTGTAGAGACCTTTTCACTGCAAGAGCAGAACGGATCCTTTGGCTGTCATCAATAAGAAAAACAGCTCTAGGAGTTTCAGTACAAGCTTACGTCTTGGTACGGCTGCTCACGTAAAGGGCTTTGGACCTACAGTAAATACACGTATATGCACTTGATTTAACTTGCCTAAAAATATCAAAATACAGAAGCAATTTAAGTTACCATCTTCTGTTTCAGCTGGGTTGAAGGGTTTTTCTCTTAAGCACAAAAGGCTGAATCTTTACCGATTGCAAATTTTCTCTAAATTAAGCCCTTACGGTTCTTACAATCTGCCTGCAGTAATGGGAACTGCCTTCATGTACCTTGTTTGCTCTTGCGGAAATAAGAGCTCTAGAAAAAAAAAAAAACAAAAACCAACAAACATTTGTCTCTAGATCAAGTAATTTATGGCTGCCTTTTTGTGTACCACACAGGTCCCACCCAACTCTGCACAGAGACGTTGGTCATACATGTAAGACACTGTAGACAAAAGAAGTTTCCGTTTACCGTACGTAGACTCGTTGTTGCTTACCCAGCACTTACAGGTAAGTTACTCCGAAACGTGTTTAAAGCAAGAAGGTAGAGAGTTGTTTTCCCCACAAGCACAAAACATACCTGACTATGTTAATTTGAGCTTTTTAATGTATGTACAAATGTTTTAGACCAGTCACAATTTCATTGAGTATATACTGTATTTACAAAAATTACAATAATTTAGTCAAACAGTAAACCTGAACATTGATAACCTCTGTCACTACCAGATATGAGAAGAAATTTTTTTTTTTAGTTAACTATTTTTGATATACATACGTCCTAATACTTTCATGCATCCATAAAAACATTAGGGATGGAAGTAATCAAAACTTAAGTGGGGTAGGGATTCTTTTGGTAGATAAAGTTTAATGATGGATTTGTATTTTGTGAACGTATGAGTATCCAGAGTTATGTGCCATGACAAACTCGATACAAAGCTAATGTAGTTTTCATCATTAAAAAAAGTACGTTATAGTAATGAGATCATTTTTATTATATAGGCATAGGTCACAATATCTACAAATGTGAATGAGAAACAATAAACCAACAAATCACAGGAACATGATTCACATTCCAGTTATCTCTTTAAATAAGACGAGCACATACTGGATCAAAACATTAATAAATAACATCCAGTTTGTTACTATTATCTTAAGGTCTTTTATATAAAAGGAGACCTATGTGTTGGTTTCACATTATCAATTAATGGTAGTAAATAATGGACCAATACAACAAAAGGATGACTTTTATACAGAAAGCAATGTACTTTGACACACTGTCTGCAGTAAAAGTTTTGCCACTTGAAAATGTAAGTGCAACAACAAGTGGATTGTCTTTAAAAACCACCAGCTTTAAAGACTCACATCAGATGGCAAACTGTTCCTTAAGCAGTAAATACAAATGATTTCCTGCCCATCTCCTGAATATACCTGCCCTTTCAAAGCTCAAATACGGATGCAACATGTTGGTAAATAAACTGCTAGCTTTACTTATTCTACAAAAGGAGAATGCCAGAATTTGGGGTGAAGAGTGTAACTTGCTTTTGAACTCGGAAAGATGCTTTTAGCATCAGAGATATTTCCTTATGATATTATTGCTTTGGTCCAATAGAAACTTTGAAGATAATCAATTTTCACTGTATTTACCTCAAAAATCAGACCTGGTTCCACAGGTGTCTGCATGACAGCTCGTACACTGTGATCTGAAAAGTGAAGTTGCAACAGGTTGCATTCTGCCAAGAGCCTTTGCCAAGTGCTCTGGAGCTGATAAAGGCATAGAGGTGATACAAGTGGGCTGGAACAAGTTTTCTGAATCCTCAGGAGGGGAAGTCTTACCTATAGACTGGGAAGTTTCTAGAAATTTGCAGCAGAGTTGTAGTTTGTTGATATTTCTTTTGTTTGATGGTTTCAAGCTACTGGTGAGAACTTCATGGAAAACGCAGTACATGCTCATTCCTCACTTTTACAAACGTGGATTCACCCTTCCCCCCAATTCCCTTTTCCCCCAGAACTGCTGTTTAAGAAACCAACATCAATTACTCGTCGCTCGCTTTAAAAGACACTAACTCCATAACGCTGAGGAATTCCTTCTGCACATTTCACTGCTGGACTGTGAGGTGAAGTACAGTGTTAATGCGTAAAGCAGCAGTCAGCTGCCAACACTGATCTAACCCAGGATTCAGCTTTGTCTCTATTCAGCCATACTATACTATATGAGCAATTAAGCAGCAAATGGTGACTGTTAGAAGTGTGCCTAAACCACATCTGAGCACTTAAATTTGATAAAGTTTGACCCAAACGTAGAAAGTACGTACATCAAAGTTTGGGCTTCACCACCGGTTATTGAACTCAGCTGAAGTGTTGCCATATCACGTATCACAAAACAGTAGGAAATTCACCAGCTACACTGTGTCAGAGACAGAACAATTCCATCTTTTCCCAGAATGTGTCCTCTCTTGCCCCACTTGAATCCAAAGAAAAATAGAAAAGTTACTAGAAACTGTAACCCCGTGGCTCTCCTATGGCAAGCCAAGTGGCTAGAGTTCCTCTGAGCTCAGGATTCTTGATACAAGTGTAAGGAAACCTTTCTCTTGTTCTTCATGATAAGTATTAGGCTCTTAGTTTTCTGAAACTTCTGAATTTCCAGCCAGAGTTTGGTTGATCTGTGACATTTGTGACAAGAGACTATATAAGCACTAGCACAGGTCTGCAGTGGAGACTGAGAAAGTACCTAATACAAGGGTTTTTGTCCTTGGTTTTCAAATTCTGACCAGGCATCATTTAGCTCCATAAATATCATCTTTGCATATTGTTCATATGGCTGCCCAGTAGCCTGGAACAAAAACAGAAAGAGGGATGTCACATCTGCCAAATCAAACTACAGAAAGTTGACATTTGAGCACCTAGACTCTCAAGCAGTTATCGTTCACTTTCCACAAATGGTTTTCACTTTTTCTTTGGCAAAAATAAGCTACTGTTGAGGGCTGCCTACCTTCTTCACAGCTTAAGAATTTCTTGGCTCTTCAGCTCTTCTTCTCCTCAGAGCTGATAAACCCCCGTGTGACAAGCACTGCAGTCCCAAGGGCAAGAAAATTTAACCTAGGCTTTGAAAGAGGCATTTTACCTGCACTGAAGGGAAAGAGCCGCTACCTGACACAGGTCCTTGATAAAAGCAATATTCCTGCAAGCCTCTGGGCAGCCCACATCTTCTCAAGCCTTGCCCACTGCCCTGAAACTCTCCGGACCCCCATTTCCTTCAGCGCGGAAGCCTCATCATCCCCACAGGGCTTCCCAGATGGCATCCTTGCACTTCGGTTGGCGAGTGTAAGCAGCAAGACCACAAGCCACCAGCTGGATAATCAGATAACCCTATTCTTCCATTTTAGAAGTTTGGGTTTAAGACCCCTGTCCTTTCATATGCCTTTATCACACCCACATCTCCTTTAGCAGGCACAATATTCTGGACTGTTGTTCACCACCAGTATGGCTTAAGTCAAAGTGAGGGTGACAAAGGCTGAAGATCTGAATCTCTGTTGCTTGGAGCAGCATGTCCCAAGCACAATCTTGGGGCTGCGAGTGGTCAGAGTTCTAACCTTTCAGAAACCGGCAAAAATCTTGAACTACTACCTTCTACAAAGCTGCACCAAATAAATTAAGAAATCACATTCAACACTTTCTAATTAAGAGAACAGTGACAATTTCTGAACGATGTGAAACTAGGAGAACCTTACCTTGTCAGGATGAACGACAAGCACTGCCCGCCGGTAGACCTTCTTCACTTGTTCTGGCGTGACAAGATCTGCCATACTAACAGGTTTCCACTTGGTCTCCCCTGCCCATAAGACTGTGTGCATTGTGGACAGCAGGGCTCTTATATTTCTCTCCTTCCCTTCAATCCATTCCAGGACCTGGAGAAAGAATGTGAGTCTCAATTTATGCCTTACATTACATATTCCAGTAGGAAAAAGTTTCTTCATTTGAATAGCAATGACTTCAAGGAGCATCTTATGTTTCTTTCCAAGCTTTAGAAAACCTGTGGAAGATATTTGTCAGTCTCTACTTTTTCATTAATTTTTATACCACTGCTTGAAAGTTAAGACACGCCTTGAAGAACAACCCGGTTAAAAACAGAGTCGGTAATGCTTATGAACAGTCACTAGATGAAATGGTCAAAAGATAAATGAAATGTTGAGCTCTTTGTCTCTTTAGCAAGCTTAACTGCACACCTAAAGTAAGCTCAGCTAGTACTCTGCCATGGATGTTTATCTTTTGTGTGTGTCTGGAGTTGAGTCTTCTAAAGGCTCATGTTGAAGGTTGGCTTCAATACAGATGTCTTTAAGCTCCAAGTCAGAAGCCTCAGTTCTCTCCACATGCTTATTTGCTACCTGCAATCCATCAGTCAAATAAAGCAATAGGTAGTCCACTTTCCTAGGTGATATAGTCCCCCTTAGTGGTTGCCATCTTAGCCTACGGCTGGGGAAGGGGAGGAGGAAAGGGAAGTAAACGTGAAAACCAAAGCGTGAATAGTTTTAACAGTTCCAGGCTGAACTGAAGTGACTCAGTGAAATAAAATGCATCGCAGCAAAGGGAATTGTACTGGGAAGGGAGAATCAGCTGGGTGCTTCAGTGATTCGGCAGCTTGCTGAGGAGAAAATGTTGCACACGTTAAGCAGTACCACAAGAATCACTGAAGCTGTGTAGCTTTCGGATTGGGAAAACTGCTGCTCACTTGATGGCCTGACAGCTGTCTGGCTTGGTTACAAGTGCCTGATGTCGGTGTTCAGCGTGGTTGCTGGCACACACTTCCCAAAGGTTTAAACTTTTTCACAAGGTTTAAAAAATAATTAAAAAAAAAAAATTAAAAAAATCACTCATTCCGTTTCCTAGAAGTTTGCTTGGCTATTGCTTGGGCTTTTCTCCTCAGTTCTATATCCTTCCGTAACTGTAATTCGTAGTTTCATATTTCAAATGTAGAGCAGGACAGACTGAATTTCCTTCCAGTCATAATAGGCCTGTGGTTTGGTAATTTATTGAGGAGAGGTGAGAGAATTCCAAAGCAAGCATGATTAATGAGGCAGAGGATTAATTCAATTAGCTGTGCCTGATAATCAGGGCTGGAGTGATGTGGAAGGCCAGCAGCCTTGACAGCAACCCTGAGCAAGCCACTATTTGCCACCGTCTGGTTTGGGCCAGAAATGTAACCTTGGAGTTTTAGATCTATTCCAAAGGATGCTCACATCTCCAGGGGAGGCAGGAGAGTTGATTGTATGAACAAACAGCAGGATGTTCTCGCTTTCTGACCCAAGGCAATCTCATGGTGGGGAGAACACCCCTGACTTCACCAAACCTCGCGTTCGACAGAAGTACTGGCGGAGATGGTCACCGCTCTTACCTGGTTGATTTGCAAGAACAGAGCTTTTACAAACTTACAACTACCTCTAAGTAGTATTTCTCATTCTGATGAGACAGTGGAGGTTCTTCCAGATATTCCCCAACACCTGCAGGTTACGACTTTGTCTTTCTGGTCACACTAGCTCGCTGCTTGTGAATGGGCACCATGGCAGTTTGTGATGCTGTCGAGTGCTTTATGGAAAGCAAGCAGGAGAGCTAGCACACGGTCCTTGGGATCCCGCACTGCTGTGGAGGCTGCGTGCTCAAGGAAGTGCTAAAACAGGAGGATGGCTTCTGGCACTAAAGGATCTGAAAGATTTGCTCAGCTGCCTCGCATGCAGGACAGCTGGCAGCTCGCTGCCCCCTCCACCTTCCAGGGGCAGTGTTTCAAGCAGCCTCCGGCACGATGAGAACGAAAGACACGTTGAGTGATTGTAAAAGCATCAACAAAAATATTGCTTACTTTTAGTTTTTCGGGGTCCATCTCCTTAGCCATTTCTTCTTTTCTCATCTCAGCTATTGTTTTGGGGCCCTTCTTGTCCTTGTGAGCATTAAAACCTTGACCAGATAATAGATCTTCGAAATCCGCAGACACTTTTGGCTTTGACTCTTGAAAAACAAAAAGATTTGAAGTTCTTACCACCATACAGATTTCTTTAACACTGCTTTACTATCCAAGCCACCCCCCACACTTATCCCTATAACAATCCCCCAGTGCTAATGAGTGCGCAGGTTTCTCACAAAAGAGGTTAATAGGCTAATGTTACTTTTGAATGATTGTTATTGAAGCCCATTTGGAATACAGGATGTACTAAGTATTAGCACGCATTAGAGTCTAGGACAGGACAACTAGTATTGGACTTTATATATCATCAAATGATCAGGATGACTTACTTGCTTAGACCCTGACCTGTTTAAGGTGCTGGAGCATTAAAGCCATATTAGAAGGAGCCAACCTTTTGGATGCTGAGCTCAGAAAATCTTACCAACGTTAGCTGGTCCTTTTCCACGTTCGTTTTGTGCTCCTGGCATTGCAGAGAAACTCACGTTGTAATTGGGTTTGTTCTGGGGCGA